TTTTTTTTTTGATAGATGTTTCACAAAATCATAGTGTGCTATATGTGTCACTAAGTTGCATTTCAGTTTCATCATATTATAGAGCTTTTCGTAAAAGCTCACTTACCGGTAATTTGACTGACAATTCGCCATCATTTCATTTTATTCGCTTGAACTGTAGTTATTGTGTGGAGTTTGTGGGAATTTAAAATATTGATAAGGTTTGACATAAGCTCCGAAACTATTTTCAATACTGGTAATGTTATACATGTATATTGGACCTTTATAAACTTAGTAATGGCATTCATGGCATTCATACCGACAGAATGATAGAACAAAATCTCTTCGCTCTTATTCAAAACTCCTCAATACTTTCCGTTGTCGGAAATTTATTGCTTAATGTCAAAAAAAAAACAGCAAGTTCGCAACGACGCGAAAATTGCTCGTTTTCATTCTGAGGCAGACAGGAAAGAACGCCGCGTTATGTTGTCAGTTGACTGATTTTGCATTTATGTTTCTAAATGGGTTGTAGTGCGTGACAATTTCTTACGTTGAATCTTTGAAAACGACGCATGTTAACAATAGTCGGAAGCTCACGGGGGGTTTCAAGCCCACGATTACCTTGACTGGAGCCTTACCCGCTATACACAATATACTCATATCTCAATATTGTCGTTGTCGTATTAAGCTTCATATCCGGCGGTGAGCAAGAATAAGCAGTAAATGAGAAATGAAGCTCCTTAGCTTGACTTCTCAGTATTCTTTTTCTGTATTCGGATCTACTCGTCTGTCGGGGGACTAGTGAAAAGTCGATCTGATTCGCTGGACAGGAACTCTATAAGAGTGTTTGTAACCATTCGCATGCTGAAACTTCAGACTACAGTTCCACGTCTGCGGTTTTCGAAAAAAGCCTTTTTTGACATTGCTTAAGAATTATCTTACCTGCAACGTTTGCCGAGATACTGCCTTTTTAGAAATAAGCACAGCGTTGGAATCAGCAACGGTTTCGCTATCGAATGATTACTAGTAGTCGTAATAAAGAGCTCTGTCCGGCGGGAAATATGTGCGTCTAAAACATAGGTTTATGTGGATTTTACACGTTATAAGAGGGTGTTTCAGAATCATGGGGCTGTAGCATGAAGTCTCAGCTTTCGAATGGTTGCTAACACTCCTGTAAAGTTCCTGTCAAGCGAACGAATTCGGTTTTCCATTTGTCCCTTCAAAACGAAATAGAACCTGTGTTCTTTTAGCTCAAGAGAGATTTGTACTTGGACATCAATCTAATAGATAATTGTAATAAGAAGAATCATTCTTATACATCGTATAATAACCTCGTTTGCAAGGTATGCGTGCGAGACAAATATTCACATCTTTACGAGCTTCTTATGAACATTACAGCTGTGAAATTCGGTGTCCTCGATTATAATGAGAAATCACCTTCGCCTCACTGTATTCCTTTATGTAAACCTTGTTGAATAGAATCACATTCTTCCGTAGATTTGTCTACGTTTCACTTTTTAGATACGAGGATCCCCGTCCAGAATACACAAACAAAAGAGCGGTTAATGGGCGAATCAGCGCCAAAGTTGAAACATCTTAGCGCTTGGCTCACTTCTCATCCCACGTACATTCTTGATCTCGCGAGTTTGGGTACGTTTATCCCTGTAGAAATCTAGTCAAAGATTTCCCAAGACTTCAGTATGTTGTGCTTCATATTTTGATATCATACTCATGTACAGGGAAAGAACCACCAGCCTCCGTCCCTACATCAACGGGTGGAAATACGAGTGTTGATTCTGCCCCATCAAGTGCAAAGCCATCTGCTCCACCAACACCAAAGCCATCCACGCCGAAATCGCTAGCCGCGGCCGTAACTCCATGTCTCACATCTAAATCTGCGTCTGCGACGTCAACTTCTGTCACAGCCACAACTCAGGCTTCTAGTTGTAAGCCAGTAAATGCTGCGACAACACCGGCTCCAGATGCTCCAAAATCGACTACAAGCCCAAAATTGGAGCCTGGAGAGATCCCCAAAAAGACATCAAATGCCGGCATGACTGGAGTCTCTAGTGGTGATGGACCTGTCTCCGTTTTCAACAGGTGCTTTTTCCGTTGTTGCTAACAAGTTTCAAAACCTCCTATCAGTGTATCATCAGATGTTTACTACAAAATACATATGCTTCTTGGAGCTATCACATACAATTGTAGATCTACTGGCGCGTTACTTCCCGCGTCAAAGTGGCCTACATTGAGCAAACTGGCTTCATGGCTTGATGCGAACCCAGATGCAAATGTTCATAGTAGCAGTGTACCTGTTGCGCAGGTGAGTGAAGCATCTGAAGTGCTGGTTTTCTTCTTGTCATGATATCTTTTACTTGTTCATGTTGCTTGCAGCTTGTGGTTGGTCTCTCTCATCCAGATCGACTTGGAGGTGAAATTTTGCCAGGCACTAGTTCGACTACTCTTTCTTCCACATCTGCTACAAGAGCAACGGAAAAAGCAGCTAGTAGTAGCAGTGTTTTTGGAGGTTTGATCCACAGTGTTTGTCCGGTGACTATCATAGTATGGGGAACTAAGGCTATTATAAATATTGGAAATTCATCAAAATTTGGCATTAGATGAATAGTTGTCGTAATGGGTCGTGGAATAAAACTCAATTCGCTATACAGCAAACTATTCGTTGTGTCGTGCAATGACGACTGGCTGTGGTGAAAGCGTAAGAGTGATCTAACTCAGCTATGACGGCATTTCTGGAAATAACTTCAATCATTATGCTTTTCTAATGTTTCTCCAGAAAATTTTTGTTTTTTGCAACACTGGGGTCCTCTTTTATAATATCAGTCAGGAGGTAAAATAACGTAAAGTTTTGATGGAAATACCTTTCTGAATTGCGAGAATATTAGCAAGTTGTTCTAGTTGGTGATTATTTGATTTAATAAGTATGATATCTCGAATTGAACGTCCTTGAAGCTGTGTTTATTGATAATTTCACAGTTCTTTACAATTTGTTGAAATTTTGGAGTTCGAATTTGGGTTGGGTTCTTCACCGAGAAATTTTTCGTGAAGTGTGATAAAGTATTGTCGTTTAGGTCCATCGACGTCAGCAACCACATCGAATTCCTCTGTGGCACTAGCGGCTGAAGCGGCAACGAAACAACAGTTAGAAACACTTCAAATGCAAATGCTAATGCAACAAACTTTACTACAACAATCCTTACTCGGTTTCAATCCATATGCTCTCGCCGGATCGACATCAGGAACTAGCTCAGCTAATGCTAAGGTGACCATTTTTTTCGCGCTTTTTCTTTGTCATGCATACAGGCGGAAGAGTTTTGTGTTGTGAATAACTACAAATTGTAAATGTACAGATATTTTTCATCAGCTGCTTTTAAGTGTGGGTTCAAACATCCGATATAGTGTGTGAGAATGTTTGGAGCCTTTTTGAGGTTGGTACGTCAGAGGCATACTTACGTTTCCACAGTGTCACCCTCTTCTTGAGTGGCCCAAGCCCCACACTAATCCCTGCAGGGATAGGGAGACGTTACTCATTGCCACTAATTTTTCGATCAATGACACAATACCACATGCTATCACCTCAAATAATGTCTCTCCGTCCCTACCATAAAGTAGGGTTCCGTGTGGGGCGTGGGCCACATGAAGCAGATGACGCCGCTGAAAAGTACGTATGGCTCTGATGTACCAATTCGAAAAGGCTCTAAACATCTTCATAAATATAAACGTATAGTTATATCATGTTTATTTTACTGGATTTTTTCTTTATATGTAGTCTGATATTGTTAAATACACCATTTGTACCTCTATTTCTGTGTAGAAATGACTACGGTCATGAAACATAGAGGAGTCGATTTGTAATTTTCGATTTTGAGTAGTGTCCTCATAATTCGAGTTAGTTTTCGTGGTGTGACAAGCCATCATTTCAAAGTTTTTATTCACATATTTTTCTTCATTTTTTAAAGTGTTTTTTCAGCCTGATGACTTGCTCAATCCGTTATTGATGGCATCGTTAATGACAAATCCTCTCGCCATGCAGTCGCTTTTAATGGATCCGACGGCGTTAGCGGCATTGTCATTAGCTAGCACTGGTGCATCGGGTAGTGCGAATTTGGTTTCCGGATCAGGAAAAAAGCCAAAGCCGCACAATTCTCAATCGTGACACCAGTTTCTATGTTTACCTGTTGTCATATCGTTTTTGTACAGTAGCAACGCGGTAATTTTTTTGGTGTGTTTCCGAGCCGTAATCTGAAACTCGGGTCGAATTTTGTGTGTAGGATACTTCCAACTCTCTATAGGCACTTTTTCTTCATTTGTGCATCTTTCGATGCACGTTGATCTCTACTGATTCTTTTTTTTTGACCACTTCGTTTGTTTTAGTATTTATTACGGTGATTTGGTGGCTCTGAGCAATTATCAATATTTAATATAGTATTTATGTAAATTTAGTGCAGCTGGTGAAGTATGTTCAAGTTGTTGTGGTTGCATTGTACCTGATCTTCAACCTACCTGGTGAAGTTTTTTCATAGCTGTCCATAATCTCCAAAAACTCGAAGAAATTACTGTCGGGAGTCAAACAATATAAGCGAAGGTTTTGATGTTGAGTCGTTGTGTAGTTATAGTTAGTTCAGTTGAATTGAAATGAATTTCAAGACATGTGAGAATTTGGGACTATGGTTCACAAACTCAGGCTTCCATATAGAAGCTTCACTCTTTTTTGACAGACTCGAACTTTTAGATTAATGCTCTGAGAGGTCGTTCGTTTTCTTCATTGTGTCCAGTGTATTCTTTTTTTTTTTTAACTTGCGATGAGTATTCAGACAAATATAGAGCATCATACCACCGCTAAAAGCGGTCAAAGAAAGAGATTTCCTGCTGATCATCTAATACCCAATATTTGCCAGCGTGACTGGGTTCAGTGTCGATAGCGACTACCTGGGCCACAACGTTGATGGTTGGTTGCTGACACGAAGATGCGTTGTAGCTTAGGAAGAGTGATGGCAATACGGGCGTGAGTAGCGCAATGGGAGAGCACGCGCTCTGGAATAGTGTGAAATGTGGGTTCGAGTCCCCCCTAATGCAGAGGTTCTACACATCACTCTGTATTACAGGATATATTTGTAACAGCATACCACAGCTAAAAGCGGTGAATAAAAAGCGTTCTGATTGATTTTAGAGCAGTGAGCTGTGATACGTTCTTTCAGAAAGCGGGGTTCTTTCCTGTTTTCACAACATTCTCCCAAACAACCATTCGGTTGTCCACTGCATGGACGAAATGACTCGACCAGCATTCTATTGCATCATGGAGAAACAAAATCTTGAGTGGTAGAGGAAACAACACGCTAAATGTTGAAAGGTTTTCGTGGAGGACGAATTATGAAAAGCGGTTCGAATAGAGGAAGTGCTTGGATCCAGACAGTTTATGTGATGGCGCTTCTGCAAAATAGTCGGCGATTGAAAATATACATGTTTTTCCCAATATCTTACAAAACCTTGTAAACACAGAGATATGGTTGCCGGTAGATGAAGGATTTTTCATGATCGCACAGAAGAGTTGTTATCTTCCGGTAACATGCAAAGATTCGTTAAAGAAAGCGGAGATAATGTAGAATATGGAGATTCAGAGAAACGAGCGAAGATGAATGGGAGAAATGAACAATAGATCAAAGAACACGGAACAGGCGTCGTATCTGAAAGTGGCGCAAAGCTGATGTATTAAGTTCCATGCGTACTACTGAGCGCGATAATGAAGATCTAGGTATCCCCCTACGAGGATTATAATATGTCTTTGAAACGATACGTCCCAAGTAACGATGAAGATCCATTCTCTATGTTATTCCCACTTCAGCTGGTCAGTTTCTACTGATGATATCGACTATTCGCATTGAGAGGGATATAAGTCGTTACAGCAATCACCATTCTAGGATGTGGTTCGATTCACATTCATATTCCTCCTCGGCTTGCAGATGTCTTGGACATTCTGGACAACATTTTGCTTTTACAGTGTGTTCATCCTGGCCGGTAGGTTTTAATGGTACAGAAAATCACGATTATAGTCTGATAGAATGTTTTGTGCCTTTCATGAAGTCTGTTATGACACTTCTAGTGCTAGACGTAAGTTTTGGCATTCTAGCAAGCCTTATCAGTAGCACATTTCATTCGTGTAATCGCCCCATTTTATAGGGAATCGACACCGAACAAGTTACACCCTGCGTAAGGTGCAATGATCACTCAACGGGATGTTCTTTCAGAGTGATTGGTTGTCGATTGTATCTGCACTGATTACAGCTGTCTCATTAGTACATAATGAGAGGCTAAAAACTCTATCAGACTACGTTGAATTTTCTTAGCAAGGTCTCGAAATAACCGATTGAAAAGTACTGAATCACCATGATATTTGAACGCATAATTCTTGCTTCTTTACGAGATGTCGAATTCTTATTCCAAACGGGGCATTTCTCGACTGCGAGTCTCAATTTGCAAAAAAATAGTTTTCTTAAGGAATTTATGAGGTTTGCCATACGTATATTCATACCCATAATAAAAAGTGAAAGTTGTGATGAGAAAGTTTGTTATACGTATATTCATACCCATAATAAAAAGTGAATCTGTTGTTGGTCGATTAGAACGATCGCTATCACAAAATTTCCATATGACGTGACTTTATCTATTCTGTGGACCGTGGCGCTTCATTTAATCCGTTGCCTCACCTTCGCCATTCATGCAGATATTTGTAATTGTGCATTGCTCTTATGACTCGAGGGTTTTGTCGTTTTCGAAACAGTCGTTGAATACTAGTATAGCTGATTCGCGCTTGGATTCTGGGATGGCTTTACTAGAGCGTTACCCAGGTTAACACAACAAGATCAATTACAGCACTTTGTGCATGAGAGTGAGCTTTTATCAGAAAAGTAATACACTAATTCAACACTAATTCAAGGATTTCAAAGAGGTAACAAAAATGATCGACCCGTCGAGCCATGGGCAATGCATGTATTGCATGACAGTTCTAACCACTGCGCGTCAATGTGATTTATCTAACAAAAGCATAGCCGCAGTGTACCATTTCACTCTGTCCACGTAATTTCTGAGTGTGCAGATCATTCAACTTCCGTGTTGTCATTGTGGTAACTGCAAACAAAAAGGCAAGTGAGACACACATCCACTTAATGCTTGCTTATCATCTGAGCTGCCAAAATTCCTCTAGAAGTTCAGTGTCCGTGATTGCGATGTGTACTCAGTATCCGGCTGAGGTTGACAGGCTCGTCATAATGCACCGACGAAGATGCTACTCGAAACTATCCGAACTACCGAATAACACCTTTTCTTTGTTCCAATGTTTTCGTGTGCTGAGAAAAGCATACTGCACCTGTTGTCAAAAAAAATCGCGTCACAAGGAAAATTTTCCTTTGACTACTGGTTGCTGGCAGGTGTTGATGGTGAAAGCTGAGAATGTGTTTTCCGAAGAATTTCACGGTTGACCAGGCATTCACCGTATGAGTAAGGAGGTAGTCCTTAAATTCTTAGTCTGTAATTAATTTGACACCTAATCCCAACCACATCAACGAATGGTGATTGCAGGAGAAGAAACGTCCGGAAAGGGTCTGAGGACGCTCACGACAGTTGGAAGGGTTATATTGTCTATAGCACAATTGACTGAGCTCCTCATCAATCTATTTACTTTTGAGTTCAGATAGCCAGTTATATTTATCAATTATAGCTGATAAGACTTAGTAATGGCACTGTGTCTTGTTGCTGGAGAAAAAGAGATAGCTTAAAATTGCAGTCAGCATGAGGTTCTTTTTCGTTATCCTAGGATTATGAAAAAGTCCCTTTCTCTGGACAAAGACTTTTTATTGCCTAATGGTAATCATTCGAAAGCCTGAAATTCTGACTACTGCGTTACGTTGCCGTTTTTTGAAAAACCACTTTTATAACGCTGAAGCAGAAAAAAAAGAAAATGTGTCATACAGGCATATTTCTCGCAGGACAGAATTGTTCCCTGAAATCATTAGTTTTTCTTTTGATAGCATACTTATTGGCAATTCAAACGCTATGCTTATGTTTTGAAGAGACCGTTCTACAACAGTGTAGCAGGGAAAATAAGATTCAGTTTCACATACCTCGCGCAGTAAAAGCAAGCGGCCGGTGTGAAACATAATATTATTTCGGAGGCATAGTGTTATAAAATGGTCCTTTCGAAAGGGGCATGCAGCGCAGTAGCCGGGATTTAAGCCTTTGAAGGATCACCAATTCTCTTATTTGAATATATCCTTTCATCATTATTTGAGCCAACATGTCATGTGGTCTGGTAAGGGCTCTTGTACAGCCCGAGACACGTGTTTGTCCTTACAGACTCATCAGCCGTGCAGAACCCGTCGTCTGTCGATCTTTTCATAGCCAGTTCTCTCGGGAGCGTCACACTCCTTATATATAGTTATCGACGACGTTCGCTTTACACTCTTATTTGAAATTTCTATCCAGCTAAAGGGGTCGCTTCTTTATTTGTTCTTGTATAACGGAAAAGAACCCAACATTGATATCTACCGATATGCGCTGATTTCTGGGTATACTTCTGTTATGCACATAGCTAGAGGTAATTGAAATGCTAAAGGATAAAGCTCTCGGCGTTAACCAAACCCTGATGGATGTGCCTTGCATTCGTCTTCAAATTTTGATTTCGCTTGAGGTGAATGAATGCATATCTGATCTTTACAATGACTCGCGTGGCTTCCCGCTCTATCGAGTCAGTGCTGTTTATCTCCCAAACGGGTCTGCGACGAGTATGGTACCGATTTACCGACCCCGGAAGCATGGATGGCTCGGGAGCCATGAATACGAGATCGAATTATCGACATTGTGTGCGACACACAGCATCTCTAGCCACTGCACCACATGCGCTGTTAGGTACTATTCAAGCCTTGATTTACAGGTGATATCTGCTACTCTCAAAGCATAGGGTATGAAGAGCTTGGTGTTGAGCAGTCTGTGAGACCTGTTATGCATTTGACTTCATTATGCATCGTAGAGTTCATATCTGACTTGAATAATGACTTACGAAGGTCTACTCATGTATCACAATTTACTGATCTCAGAGTGATGATTGTTCGTTTATCCGTGATGCGATTCTGAACCAAAAATCCTGTGTATATTGCAGGGTACCGCTAACCACTACGCCTTTTTTCGTAGTTGTTTGAAATGACTCTTAGTTTTTCTAACAAGTCGAATTTCAGATGTTGAGTTTTCCTTTATATTTCTCATGATCCTTTGCGCTCTTACCTCTTGCTTAACTTGTGTTGCAAAGGCTATCGTATATTCGTCGAAAAAAATTCGTTACCAAACAATCGTAGTCGCTTCGGTGAGCCTAATTTTTTCCCCAAAAAGAACATTGTTACGAAATTTCACTGTTTAGTTTCGAATCGAGCAAAAAGTGTGACTATTTTCAGGGCACAAATGTTCTTGTTCATGTCATATTCTTATGTGTACTTCTTGGATCACTTGAATCTGTGTTTGGTTAGGGTGAAATGTCTATATGGATTGAATATTTTGTATTTTCATCCGATTGTGACCACATAACTTTTGATTTCTTCAAATCAATATCTGAACAAAAGTATTTCAGGTCTTCATTTCTATTATGATGTACAGCTAGTTTCGACAACGTTAGCTGGTATTGATATGAGTATTTTTCCATATATCATGGCCACCGAATACAAGGATATTGAGCGAAAACGAAAATAGTGTCAAACTATGGAGCCATCATATACAATGCGTTTCACTATTCATCTGTTTCCTGTTGAACTGTCAATAAATCTTCTCTTATTTGTTTGTATGAAGGTGGTGACAAGATACGTTTTATATAAGTTCTCTGAAGAACGGAATAAGATTAGATATGGTTGTTAATTTCAGAGCGGTGTTTGTATAATTGGATAGATCTTGCGTGATCCCAATTTACATAATGTCGATCCCAGTATTTTCTTCATTCATCTCGTTTCGCGCCTGTAATCCATCATTCATTAAGATCTCTCTAGGATCTCTAGGACTTAACTAGGATGAGTGGAGTTCACGTTAAGCAGAAAGAGGCA